TTAGGAGATAAGGATTGCTACAAATAAAGGGGATGATTATCCTAATCCTATAATGATTAGGATATCTACAACATATGGATAAATACAAGGGAGGATAATGACAAGTCTTGGCCGCCTAGTCTTGGGACTGAAGTAGACTGATGTGGTCTGGTCCATTTCCGGATATGTCCCAACCACCATCTTCATTTCTTAACAAAAATGATAATAATTCGATCTAATAATGTAGTAGGCATATTCCAGGTCTTACGCGGTGAAAACTTTTGCATTTTGTCCATCTAATAATTGTTCCCTTTTATAATTAGACAGTCTCTTAATATTAGACAGTCTGGTTATTTTCTGAGCATTGATGACGGGTGGTAAGTACAAAAAGTTTTGTAGTCAATTCATTCGTTTTTTTTAAAAGAAAAAATCAACCTCTGAGTATTAGTACAAGATTTCGGAAAGAAATGAGAAGAATTTAAACTTAGCATAAATGGATATACCAAATATTCGACTAAGAAAATTACGTTGTTCAAATCTAATCAACTCAACCGTCTCTTCTTCTCATAGATAGCAAATTTCATTCCCAGAATACTCAATATATGAAGAACATTAAGTTTTTTGAATTTAAATTATTCTATTACTCAAAATTAGAAAGAACCAAAAACTTTTATTTTTGTTTAAACCCAATTATCGCCACCATCATCTTCAACTCTTTTTTCTCAAAAGTCAAAGTCCTTGAACACCTTCTTAACTTGCTCAAGTGTCACAAACATAATCACCGTGAACGGTGCCTGTCTCGAAACCGTCGGCAAAAACCCCTTATACAAAGCCATGATCCCTTCCGCCTTCACCGTCTTCAACGCACAATCAACCGCACCCTTATACGGCGCCGTTTTCCCCGCCTCCACCTTCATATTCATCACCCGCGTCTTAATCACATCCACAGGGTTCGACGCAACCGAAGCCACAAACCCCGCGGCGAAGCTCGACGTCACGTGCGTCCCGAGCCCGTCTCTCATCAACCCTTTCTCCAAAATCGTCTCCTTCACCGAATCGTACGTAGCCAACTGCGACGCCGTCACGAGCATCGCCCTGTTGATCGTCATCGACGAGCCTCTCCACAGCGACGTAACGCCTTCGCCGCGAACCATCTGCGCGATCGCGTCCAAAACGCTCTTGTAGTTTCTCCGATCAACCGCCGGGAGACGCCCGTCGGCTTGCATGCGCACCATGGCGACATCCGCCGGGTTCCCCACGGCGGCTCCGATCCCTCCGGCGATGAAACCGGCGGCGAGTTTACGGGTTAAAGGGATGGTTTTGGTTTCCGGGTCGGTCCATTTGGTTTTCAAGATGTCGTATAGACCCATGCGAGTGGTTGAGTAGAGAGTTTGTCGGAGAACGGTGGCGGAGACGCCGGAGAAGAGAGCGCGTGTGCCTTCTTGTCTGATGATACGAGATCCGATGGTGATGATCCCCACGCGCGGAGGTGGTGGAGGCGCGTGGAGGGTGGAGGAGGATGTCTGGAAAGCGAGAGCTGGTCGGAGGGTTGTCGGAACGGAGGATGATTCTCCTTGGAGTTGCATTCGGACCTTGATTAGATCCAGCGGGTGGGTCGAACAACCCGCTACGATCGATGCGATGCCTCCTTCGGCGAAACCCTTGAGACCCATTTTTTAAAGAAAATTGTAAAAAGGTTAGAGTTTTTTTTGTTGTTTTTTAAAGAGACCAGTTGGAATTGGAACTGATCTCACTGGAGATTAGGAGATGGGAATGGAGACAGAAGGCTATAGAAGAAGAATGAGGAACTTGGGGTCTCTGAGACATATGCCGTTCAGACAAGAGGTTTTTTTGTAGGTTGTGAATGAAAGTCTTTTAAAGAGAGAGAGAGAGATTGTTGTGAGGTGGAAGATGAAGAGAGAAGGGAAGCGTTTAAATAAGGAAGGTGTGAGAAAAGGAAACGCGGAGACTTGTTTGCTATTTTGCGCCGATTTAGAAAAAATAAAGCGTTTTCCTTTTGAAAATTTGGGAGTATCTTGTGACTTTCCTTTGTTGTTTGAAATATATATGCTACAGATCTTTTTTGACCAAACAAATGGAAACTCGCTTTAAAAATCTTATTATTAAAAAAATTAGTAGTTAAGTTAAAGAAAAGTGATAATGATCTTTTAAACAAGGGATAATTTGCAAAATACTCTATTTAGGATTTGAAATTTGAAAAATACACTTCCTTAATTATGAATTGGACTTTTTTACTTAATATATTTCAATAATTAAGATTTAATTCAAAATTAATATATTAATTCGTAATTAATAAAAATCCCTAAAAATAATATCATTAAAATTATTTTGTTTAAGATAAATATGCCCATTGAAATAAATATGTTATTTTATTATTTAAATTTTATAATAACAAAGATAAATATGTGAATTATGATTTGTTTTGAAGTTTATACATGACTTTTGTCAACATAAAATAGAATCATAATTAGAAATTGATATTTGATTTATTAATCAACAAAACTTTCTTAATGAGATAAGAGGAAGAATCTGTGAAAAGAGAAGAAAAAAATTCAGGAATGGAGGAGAAGAAACGAGAGGAAAGAGACTAGAAGACTCAAGACGACTCATTACATTAATTTTTTATTTTCTTTTTTTCAAATAATAAATAATTTAAGATATTATTAAAAAAAAATTATGCAGATGTTAGTGATATAAAATCAAAAAAGATATTGTGCAGATATTCTTATCCATTCTCACGACTTTTTTAAGTCATTTTAAAAAATAATAATATATTAGAAATAGAGAAATATTAAGAATAGGCAATTATGTAAATTTATGTTTATATAAGTGTATTTTTCAAAAAATAAAAGTGAGGATTTAGTTTTCAAATTTCATTCTTATTGGAATGTATATTTCCAAATTTTCCCTTTAAACAAACCAGTAAAGTCTACAGAATCGCTTAATTTGATAATTTATGTTCACACAAACACAGATTCATATAAAATACTTGATTTATGTCTTAAATTAATAAATATTTTTTAATAAGTTTTAATAATAATATATAGTATTGTCAAAACTGCTGGGCCAATAACATTCTCGTACATGACACGAGCTTAACACTTGCTTTTGTCTAAACTGATACAGCTAATCAAGCTATACATCTGTAGACAAATACTCTTAAACTTTATTATAGTGGTCGTGAATATTCATAAAATAAACAGCGTTCTTTGTGTTTAGCATTTTTTCACTATGTAATTGAATTTTCCCCACAATAATTATTTTTCACTCAACATTCACATCACTCTTTTTTCCAAAGAAAAAAAAAACATTCACATAGGGTGCTTCCTTTTTGTTGAGATGCTTGCTTAGTTTTTCCTCCAGTTTTTTTTATTCGTTGAAAAGATAGATTGAATGGACGAAAGAAAATAATACTCATTATGTTTCAAATGATCTATATTTTAGAAAAAAGTTTGTGTTTCAAAAAAACTATTTATAATGAATATAATAATGATAAATAGTAATATTCAAAAAAAAATAGTTATATTTATTAAATTTTGATTAATTACCATTTATGGAAATTAGTTAAACACAAAAAATAATACATTTACAATTAAAATTTAAGATATTTTCTTAATAAATGTGATAATTTTAAAACAAGTATCTTATTAAAATGGAGGAAATAAGAAGTTACATTGTAGTAATGATGTGCCATGATTTTATTAAAGATACATACTACGACTTTGATTTGATCTTTGGTTTAAGTTTTTTCCTTAAAATTGGATATCAATTACATCATCGTATAATCCTTAATCTTATTACATATGATGATCAAGTACATGTAACATTACTAAAATCTATAGATGAAAGTTTCACGATGAAGCTTTTCTTAAAACACTTGGATCAACGAACGGTTATGCATGTATGACAGTCTTGATAGACATACTCTTCACAACAGATGCCCACAACGAGCAACTCTTCCTACAGTACTATGGAACCTCCGAAACCATCGCATCCTATAATATGTAAGAAATTGCATTGTCTGGGATTTAAACCCTAGATTTATATGTAAACATCGGCTGGTCGATCAAAATTGATGGTATTTCACTACTAGTGAGAGATATACGCTAAAACTAAGATATCAAGTAGAATGGATATACCTAAACAAAGAAAGATTGATGTCGGTGTTTGGATCCACGGTCACCCTTTTAAAATTTTATTCGTGGAAGATTCACTACCCGCCAAAAAACACTTTCTTTAGCTGTTGGTATCATGTTGTATACCAGTAAATAAAAATTTGTGAAATAGGAGTATGCAAGGTGATGTTCACTGTGCAAGATGTGGAGTCAGCGAAGAATTAATTAATTATGTGTTCTTTGAATGTTTCCGGCGGTCTTAGTACACTACAAGAAAACAGGTGTTTAATGACTACACAATTGGTTGTTAATTGGTTGTAATATGCCTTTTACGACCAATTAACATCGTAAACCCATTGATCGTTATTCGCTAGTCGTAATGCATAATTAGTCGTAATGTAGTCGTAATATTACGACCATGAGTTGTAGTCGTAACCTAGTCGTAATATTACGACTAATATAATGGTCGTAACGTTGAGGTGACAAACTTAATCGTAACGTAGTCGTAATATAATTGGTAGTTAATTATTCGTAATATAATTGGTAGTTAATTAGTCGTAATAAAATTAGTCGTAAAGTAAACATAAACATTGGTAGTTAATTAGTCGTAATTTTACAACTAAGTAACATCGACAGTTGTTGTCCATTGGTCGTAAATTAAAGACTAATTTACGACCAATGTTGATTTTATTTTTATATAAAACGATTTTTTTAAAACAAAATTGGTTTTTAATTCGAATTTGATTTTTTTTTAATTTTTGGTTTTTAATTCGAATTTTTTTTAAAAAAAAATAAAAAAAAATAAAATTATATTTGATTAAAATAATATATAAAGTATTCATACAAAAAAACCGAAAAAACTAAGGTGATTTGTTGAGGTTCATGTCCTGGAAGAACTCAGAAGTGTGCTGTTCCGCACGTCGCTCTAAATCCACTTGCTCTTCCGGAGTGGAGTCGGGGTTAAAGCTCGGACGTAGAGATTGCCATGCATTTGCAACCGTCGGGTTTGGGTTCGAGTTCTCCATCATAAGATCGAACATATTCGCCATAGCCTTGAACTTGTCTTTATGCTCGTCTATGACTCTGTTGGCAGCTGCTAGTTCCCGTCGGAGAGAGGAATCTTCTTCTATTCTTGCTGCATGTTCGGCCCTAGCCCTCGGGATATCGTTCACAGTCCCGATCCCAACAATACGTCCCCTTTTCTTCAGAACAACCTATAAAAGATCAAATTTTATTTACTAATTATATTTATATAATTAAGTACAAATGTGAAAATTTAATAAAAATTAAAAAATGTTAATAAAGTTAAAAATTAAAATAATTTACCTGCTCAAAATTTTTGTCTTGGTTGATGGTGGAAAGCTGGACCGGTGGAGCATCCGGATTTTGTTGCGACATCTGAGTCTAGATCTCTTCGATCCGAGCCTCTAGCTCGTTGTAGATCTTCTCTGCTTGAGGATGCAAAAAAGTCCCATCGGAACGCTGGTGGGTAATCTTGTATAGCGGGGCGAGAGATGGTAGTGCTCCTTCTTTGGCAGCCTATATTAAAAAAATTAATTAAAAATAAATTTTGCATACAAAAAAATAATAATAAAATCAAGAAATGTCATAAACACTTATAATTTCAAGTGCCCTCCCAACATATGAGGTCTGCCCGGAAGTATGAGGTACTGGCGGGTTACCTTGAGCATCCTTGGTCATCCGGACCGCAGAGTACTTAGTAGACTTCTGCCTTGACTCAGGCTTCATCCAAAAAGCCATCAAATCATTCCAAACTTCATTGCTATGGTAGGATGGTTTTGCAACACCCCGTTTTAGTCTCCATTCGTCCTTCCAATCCCCAGCGATGTTCTTGAGGCACTGCATCACCTTTTTGTAGAACCCAGCTTTGACCTCCTCGTTGACACCAAGCGACCAATTCCATTTTTGCTACAAAAATTTATGAATAAAAACATTATTTATAATTTAACGTCATACTATGAATTAATTTTTTAAAAAATATGGAAAAACTAACCGCGAAACACTTGAACTACGTAATGCGAACGTGGTCCGGTGAAAGAGTCCAACTCGGATAGGCATGCCAAAAATTTACCCGAATGATATCCCCAACGCTCTGTCCTAAAACATTGTCCGTCAAAAACCTACAAAATTTGAAAGAGTTTATATATTTATATCAATATTTATGATTAAATAAATTTTTAAAATTTAAACTTTAATTAAATAATTTAGAATAATTACCAAAACGTGTCAGGCGTCGATCCGGATCGACGATTCGTAAACCTTCTCGTCCCGGCATCCGGAGAATATCTTCCACCGTATATTTTGCATATGGTGCATTCGCTGACACCATCAAATCTGGATGAAGACTGGGTGCAACTGTCGGATCAGGCACGTAAGTAAATAAATCCGTATCGTCAACCTGCGGATAGTACGGAGGTTGATCCTGATGATCATTAGGGTTGTAGACCGGTGGAGGCACATACGACAGATAAGTACTGGCCGGTTGGGTCGTCTCTGGAACCGTGTCATGGCCAGATGACGTGGCGGCGGGTGATGTGCTGGCCAAGGTAGAAACAGTGGGGTCGTTTGATGATTCACCGAGAAAAGTACTCGCGTAGGAGTTTCTAGCCGCGAGGTTCCGGATTCTCTTTCTACCAGACATAGCAATATCTATATATCTGAAATTTATAAAAAAAATAGAGCGGTTAAATTAAACA